TTGTATTTTTAATAGAGATGGGGTTTCACCATGTTGACCAGGATGGTCTTAATCTCTTGACCTCGTGATCCACCCACCTCAGTCTCCCAAAGCGCTGGGATTACAAGTATGAGCCACCTGCTTGCCCGCATATCCTAGTTTCTCATTTAACATATATATTTGAAAATTCAATGGAACTTTTGTTTAATTAATATTCAAACAATCAGGTACTTTGTTTAGAAAGTTGTTTTAGTTGACTGGGGGCAGTGACTCACACCTGTCAAATCCCAACACTTTGGGAGGCCGAGGCGGGTAGATCACCTGAGGTCAGGAGTTGGAGACCAGCCTGACCAAAATGGAAAAACCCCATGTCTACTAAAAATACAAAAGTAGCTGATCATGGTGGCACAAGCATGTAATCCAAGCTACTCGGGAGGCTGAAGTAGGAGAATTGCTTGAACCAGGGAGGCGGAGGTTGTGGTGAGCCGAGATCATGCCACTGCACCCCAGCCTGGGCAACTAGAATGAAACTCCGTCTCAAAAAGAAAAAAAAAAGAGGAAAAAAAAAAGAAAGTTGTTTCAGTTGTGTTTGGTAAGCTCTATACATACTGTGATTTTTAAATACTATGAATAAATCAATATATGTAATACCTTTATTTTCAATTATGCTATTCTAATGCTGTTTCAAGTAAAAATGAGTCAAATACTAAAAAAAAAATTACCATTCCAAAAAATGGGAATAAATTAAACAATGGATAAAATTTTTTAATGTTATTAAAAGTTTTACCCAGAAAAACCTTTTAAGTTTAATTTTAAAATATTTTTGTTTCAAAAAACTTGTATTTTCAACTTCATACTCTGGTCGATAAACTGTGTGGTAACTGACAATTGTAGAAGTTAAAAGTCATAAAGAAAAAACCTTTTGCTTTCTACAAATTAGCAATGTGAACAAGAATTAATCAAACTGTTTCGTTGTTGTGACTATGTTACTCTTAACAGGATATAGAATGGTCTAAAATATCTCTAGGCTTCTGTTCCTCATTTTGTACAAATTTTAACAAGAGGCAAATTAATTAGTGAGAGTAAATAATTTGAAAAGTTTGTATAAACTTTATAATTTTATAAATTATATTGCTTCCTTTTAAACATAACATTAGCTAAGAATAAACCTCATTTGGATATTTAGACCCATAAGTAGATGGTTTATATTATTTAGAAATATATATATGTACTATTTTCTTTTAGGGATGGATGCCCTTCACTCACTGATGTCCTATATACAATTCATTCTGTGTTCCTTTAGTTTTTTTGAGTGGTTATTGTTTAGTTGGATGCAAGTAAAACTAAGCAAGTAAAAAATGTCTTGAAAATACTGGATTTTTTTCTATCTTATTTATTATTGCCACCTCTTTTACATTATTTTATGTCTTAAAAGATAAAATTATACATAAACGTGTGTGTGCGCGTGTGTAAAATAGGCAGTTCCAGAATTAACCAATGTAATAAACATCTTAAGGAAGAAATCTGTATGCAGCAAATCCTCAGCTACCCCTGAAACTTAAGTAATAAAGAAACAGGTGATATGGTTTGGATCTGTGTCCCTGCCCAAATGTCATACTGAAATGTAATCCTCAGTGTTGGAAGTGAGGCCTGGTGATAGGTGATTGGATCTTGGTGTGGGATTTCTCATGAATGGGTTAAACACCATTCCCCCTTGGTACTGTCATTGCAATAGGATAGTGTGAATTCTCGTGAGATGTATTCATTTAAAAATGTGTAGCGAATCCCAGGTTACTCTCTTGCCCCTGTTCTGGTGCAAGCTCCCACTTCACCTTCTGCCATGATTGTAAGCTTCCAGAAGCCTATCCAGAAGCAGATATCAGCATCATGCTTCCTATACAGCCTGCAAAACTGTAAGCCAATTAAACCTCTTTTATTTATAAAGTACGCAGTCTTAGGTATTTCCTTATAGCAATGCAACAACAGACTAACAAACTAGGCATGAACTTTTTGTGTGTTGTGTTTACACAATAAATTTACTGTTGAGTAAACTTATATTTACTCAACAAATTTACTGAACAGCTATAATGTAAAATATATTATGCTGGGAATACAAAATACATAAAGCATAGCTTGTTATCTGCATTGATAGACTTAATTGCTAAGGAAGATACAAAATATATATATATATGTATACATATGTATGTCCACATATGTATGATATAACTTAGTTTTAATATTACATATTAATATTTCTTACATGTAGCACAGGTATCCAAGTTAAGCAAATGATAAATTATTTTCAAATTAAAAAAAAAATCAGGATGAACATGGTGACTCATACCTGTAGTCTCAACATTTTGGGAGGCCGAGGCAGGAAGATCACTTGAAGTCAGGTGTTAGAGACAAGCCTGAGCAACATAGCAAGACCCCGTCTCTACACAAAATTTAAAAATTAGCCAGGTATAGAGGTGCACACCTGTAATCTCAGCTACTCGGGAAGCTGAGGTGAAAGCAACAGTTGAGCCCGATTTTACTGAGCAAAGCTGCAGTAAGCTATAATCATGCCACTGTAGTTCAGCCTGGGCAACAGAGTGAAACTCTGTCTCTTAAAAAAATGACTATAAAAGTTAGACTGTTTATCAATTTAAAAACATTATCTGAATTCCTACACTATTAGTTTTGCAAGAATAAGCCTTAGATAGGCATGTAGGCAAGATCTGCTGGTGGAGACTACATGTCTGGAAAATGAACCTTTGATGTACTCAGGAATATTCTGGAGTTGTTACCAGTTATTTGTACCTGGAAAATTACCATGTTGTACCAGGTTCTTTAGAAGAGTTGGAAATATATGGAAGCGAGGTCCTTGAAAGCCATGATAACATGATCCTCACCTAGAGCTGGCAAGATTGCCTGCATTCGGTTGCCTTCCTGGGCAGGCCAGGGAAGTCTGCCTCTGAGAGGAAATGCTGTTGGATTATACCCCCTGCTCCAGGAAGTCACCTTGGGATGCAGATAAATTGTATCATCTTACCCGTGTTAAAATAACTAAACTTTGCCTGTGTCTATCGGTATTTTTTACTCAATTATGTTCATCCCTGTCACACTAGACAACTGTGCCACTGTTAATTGTCATTCCTATTATAGAGTTGAATTTTAAAATCTTATGCTGAATTTATTTTCTAGGGGACTAATTAAGAGGCAGGAAAAAGGAAAAAACAGGAAATTTAGTTAATCAATAAAATTCTGGATTTAAGTATATTCTATGGAGAACGGCGATTCTGATTTCTTGAAACTTTAATTTGAAGTTCTCTAGAGCCATCTGGGTTCTGTAGCTTTTATTAGCATCAGAGCCTCTGCAGAAAGGAGTGAGCAGAGTGAAAACTAATTGCACTAATAGCTGCAGGAACACTGAAGCTTTGTGCATAACTCGAAGCAGCTCAGAATCCTGTGCTTACCAACAAGATTGAAGTGTTCCAAAGTATATCAAATTCCTTTGTGGTCACTTAAGGTATCTCTTTTTTTTTTTTTTTTAGAAAATGGGAAGCAGTTTCTCTCTCTTTTCTTTTTTTCAGAAACCTGTTTTCACATGATCCTCATACCCATGAACAGACTGTCATGAGTATAGAGACCAGTGAGAAAAAGACAATATTCCATTGCCGAATGGAACCTGACATTGAAAACCTGCCTTATTCGGAGAAAAAACTCATAATCAATTAGAAATCAAGCCAAGTTATTTGTCATTTGTCTGCAAATATCAGTTTGAATATTTATAGGACAAATAGCATAACTGGAATCTGAGGTTCTATAGGAGAGGGGCAGGGAATGGTTAAGCAGCACCCAGAACCTTGTCTCTCACCCCACACTCATATCTCATACACAAATACATTTGTAGCTAAGCAGTTCCACGCATAATATTTTCATACTTTCATTATTCTCTAAAATATAAAATAGTTAATTCATTCTGCCAACTACTTTAAGTCTAATATAAAAATAGACATTCTTGGACTAAATTCTATTTTCAAGTTCCTGAGTTACAAAAGAGTTAGATAAAAATGACATTGTTTACTGATGTGCATGGTTTTACCTAATTCATCTGTTTAATGAAAACTTTATGCCATATATTTAACAAATAGTATATCAACTAAAATTTGCAGTAGCACTATTAGAAACTGAGTAGACTGTGTTTCGTTTTCTTCTCTTTCAGCAGTGTCTTTACCATTGGGCAGCCCAGTTACCAGGGCATTCTGTGAAAACCAAACAATAGTAACACTGGTGCATTTTCTTGACCCTTAAGTGTGTAGATTTAGGTGGTTTTAATGCTAAAAGCAAATGTAAAGTGCATAATATCTATATTTTTAATTAGAACTATAACCGTGATTTCAGTAAAAACAGAAAAATAGTTAAAAATGTATCTTATTTAGTTCTCAGAGTAAAACAATTACCTGCTAAGATTAAATCAGGCAAAAATTCAGCATCTAAGACTTTCCTGAATTATCACTATAGTACTAGATAATTATGTAATTCACTGTTACAACTTCAGGTATGCAAATATAACATTTCAATGATTAGATCTCCAAAATTTAAGCAAAGAGATGCTTGAAATAGGTAGATAATTTGGGAAAAGGACATGCAATTGCCTGAAGTAAAAACATGGACTGTGAAAACAAACATGTATTACAACCTGAATTAGCAATTACTTCCAGTTTCCACTTTGCTTATTGCACATGGACAGTTTCTCACCATTAGATTTGTTGATTATTTGGCATTAACCAACCAGATAACACCATCATAATTATCATACACACACACACACACACACACACACAAAACACTATTAGTGTGTATAAACTCATGCAAAAAGCAGATTTAGGGTAGATTACAGTTTAAATTGGGTATCATTAATATAGAAATAGTTCATTCAATCCCATTACAAAAATCACCTCATATTACTAGTAGAATAATGGTAACAATTCTTCCCTTGTCCCCACATAGAAATGCATAAAAGGGAATTTACTTACACTGAACGATGAGCTGCACCAAGGCTTCCCTTGGTTTCACGTTAAATCCATTGTATTGGCTGGTCTGACATCTGTACATTCCTGACATTTCCCTAGACACATTCACAATCCTCAGTGTTCCATCATAACTCTCCATTTGCATTGATCCATCAGGCATTGCAACTTCTTTATCCGCTCTAGACCAAAGGATGATTGGTTTAGGTTTGCCAGTTACTTGACATTGCAGTTCTATTGTGTCTCCTTCTCTGGTGACCAATGGTGATTTTTCCTGTGGAACAGTCAGATTGGGTGGAACTTGAAATGGGAAAAAGAAAATTTTTCAAGGTTAGTATAAACTGGTAAAGCATATTCAGATACAGAAAATCATAAGGAAACAATTTCTGCTGGTGGAAGAAATGTGACAATTCGGATGCTCAAAAACCTTGGGAATAAATGGAATATACTCTCACTTAAAATCATGCTTAATTGTTTTCACTGTATATTTTAAAATGAGGACTTCAAACATTAGCAAAATAAATAAGGCATTCAATTGAAAAATGAATGGTCAACATAAAAATAATCTTCTCAATGACCTGTAATAATTAGTCATTAACTGGGGCTTTAACATTTGCATTTCATAGGAGAATAGCATTCAGCTGTGTAGACTTAGCAGTCACAATAAGTGCAAGTAGTCAGAAAGGGAAAAAGAGAAACCTCTGATCTAAAATCATAAGATTTGACTGGTTTAAAACTTGCCAAATTGCTAAGATTTAAGATTTGTTTTTTTTCCTTAGTGGGAGTGAAATCAAGCAATTTGACAATCCATTCTATTCTCCATTTTTGGACTTTTAATTTTTTGTGGTATTTGAATTTCTTATTATTTCACTTCATAATATTTTGATGTCATTGTAAATAGTTTGCCATAATGTTGCCAATATTTCTACAAAGTTAATTTTAATTAAATCTTCAAAATATATTTCAATGAATATAAGAATTATAATTTTTCTCAAGTAAAGCTAGTTTCTGATTTACAGCAGATATTTATGAAAAGTTAGATTGATTTTACTGTAACTTACTTTATTGTGCTGAAATATATTTAGGTTAGAATTCAGTGAAAAGCATTAAGTGATATGAGGGAAGTACTATACAATGATCTTTCTTACAAACATTATCACTAGTTCCACTGGAAGATTCTTATTTCTTATACAATTGTATATGAATTCAAATGCATTTGTGCAGTAGAACATCTATCAAAAAAGGGCAAGCTAAATAGAATGCTATAAATACAAATAACCAGAAACATGAATAATTCTATCCTTCTGATAAATGTTATCTGTTCCCTTTGGAAGTAGTACTGCACATGAATGAAAAGTGAAAGGTTTTATTCTTCCTTTTAGTTTGATTATGCCCCAGTGTCCAGGTACAAAACCAAACATAGTTATGTTTAAAATTATTTTTCAACTAATTTTGAAATGTTGTTGCCCTTATTATAGAGACAAATAAATTCAAGTTCAAAATGATATGAGAACTATCTTCCTATTCAAATATCTTCAATTCACTTTTTAATTTAATTCCTTCACTTACTTATTGTTTAAAAAGCAAATTACATAATGCATAACATCTTAGAATTTAAACAATATGAAATATTAACCACCATCATTTTGAAGTAGATATATACATCCTAGAAATTGACATTAACAAAATACATGTTTAAAATGGCTTCATTTTATAAACCCAAATGGCTAAATAATTTGTTCTGGTATATAGAAACAATTAAATAATTTTGGCAAAGTATTTGTTCTTTTCAAAGTGAATGATGTAATTAAAATCTAAGCAGCATACTGTAACAATGGGACTGGAATGGAACTATGATACTTACTCACCCTCCATGAGAAAGGGTGCAGAATAACCTCAGCATTTAACATTTATTATCCCCCTACTATGTGACAGGCGCAATTAAGTATTTTATGTTTTCATTTAAACCCCCTTGATAATATTGAGGACCAAATATTTAATATTAAAATAAACAATTGAGAACATTGAGAATAAGAGATAATAAATACTTCAATTTGAACAGAATACAAACAAAAACTAATTTATAGCAGGTAGCTAATGTAGAGATATGAATACTGAAGCAGGCTCAATAAACAATGGTATCTGGAATTAATAACTTTTGAGTGTTCGCAATAGACTCCTCTCTTCATGCTCATGACAAATTGGACAAAATCCCTTTCTGTCGTTTGGTCACTGTTTCAAATATGAAAGAGTCAAGATGAATGTGAGGGAATATACAGTAAGTATTTTGCAAATTATCTTATCTATCTTTTATCATCTTATTTATTTAGTCATTTATTACTGCTATCACAGTGGATAAGGCCAACAACGTCTATATTTCTTAAATAACTACGTTGATCAATTATCTATATCTGAATATTTTTCATATGTCAAAACTGCTTATAAGATATACCAACCCCAAAATAAATATCCAAATTTAGATAAATCTGTGTAAAATAAATGAAAAAATGTATAACTTTAAAGACTAATGGAGTGTTATCACTTGAAATATACAATCCATATCTGTTCCAAAAATAAGCTACATGATCTTGGCCAACCAAAAACACTGTCTGTATTAATTTTACCTTTGGTGGTGGTTGTTGTTTTGAGATAGTCTTGCTCTGTTTTCCAGGCTGGGGTGCAGTGGCGCAATCTCCACTCAGTGCAACCTCCATGTCCCGGGTTCAAGTGATTGTTCTGCCTCAGCCTCCTGAGTAGCTGGGATTACATGTGTGCACCACCACACCCAGCTAATTTTTTCGTATGTTTAGTAGAAACAGGGTTTCACCATGTTGACCAGGCTGGTCTCAAACTCCTGATCTTAGGTGATCACCTTCCTCAGTCTCCCAAAGTGCTGGGATTACAGGCGTGAACCACTGTGCTTGACCTTACCATTTTTGAAACTAAGAATTTGTACTTTATTAGCCTCAACGTTATTGATGTTCTGATTACGTGAATAGTAAAAAGTTAAAAAGAGAAGTGGTGTCAAAAGATAGTGCTTACTTCCTAACTTAATAAAATGGATATTTAAACAACTTATTACATTAGACCATTCAAATCACAATAGATTCTTGACTAGCTATAATTTTTTAAAATGTTATCATGCTAAATAGTTCAAATATCCCTTTTAAAATTTGTTTATGTTTTTCATGTATTTAGATAAACTTTCCTCCCTGCCGAATTAAAGTTACAGAAATATAAACCTCAATTTTAATCTCAATAACACAAAAATTGATTTTTAGATAAATTAGCCCAGGTTTTACAAAATAGCAAAATCTAGCTAAAAGATTATTTAATATCCATCTCTTCCTAGGCCAGATGCGGTGGCTCACGCCTATAATTCCAGTACTTTGGGCGGCCGCACATCACAAGGTCAGGAGATCAAGACCATCCTGGCCAACACGGTAAACCCCGTCTCTACTAAAAAAAAAAAAAAAAAAAAAAAAAATTAGCCGGTCATGGCAGTGTGCACCTGGAGTCCCAGCTACTCTGGAGGCTCAGGGGCTCAGGCAGGAGAATCATTTGAACTCGGGAGGTGGAGGCTGCAGTGAACCAAGATCGCACCACTGCACTCCAGCCTGTGTGACAGAGGGAAACTCCATCTCAAAAATAAATAGATAAATAAATTTTAAATCTAGAAGTCAGGGTTAACCTTTCCCTACAACTCTCCTGGCCAAAAAAACTATAATTTCTCAAAGCTGTTATATGCTTCTCTACCTCTCTGTCCCCACTAAATTTTCTATCCCTTAGAATTACTCAACTCTCTTAATTGTTCCTCTAATTTTTTCTATTGAGAGATCTCATTTGTTCTCATAGATTTCTCTCTATGTGTTGATAATAACAAATTATAACTTTATTCCAATGGCTCATAATTGCAGCCTGTCTTTATATTCCAAAAGTCTTTCAAACCTAAACACTATTTTATTTCTTGACTTGGTTAATAGTTAATTTCAACAGATTCCATCTGTTAATTGAAAACCATACAATATTATGTTTCACCATTTCCTCTTGTTCACCACTTCAAAACAGCCATCAAATCTTGTTGTTTCTTTATTTAAAACTATGTCTCATATCTGCCTGTTTCTTTTCATGGCCATAGGCAGTTTTCTCAGTAGAAGTCATCATTTTATCTTCTTGTAACAGCATCCTAAGTGGTCTCTCTGTCACTAGCCTCATTCTTCCAGGCTTCCTGCTGCCCTGTCTAAGCTTTATCATCATAAACAGTTTTGTTCCTGTCACTATGAAGACTACAAACCTAGATGAGAGTGCTTGTCACAACACTGGTTTAGTTTAAAAAACAACCTGAAAACAGCTTAACGGAGTTGTTAAATAAATCATAAAATAGTTAAAATAGTTGAAAAATAGAATATGACACAGTCTTTTTAAATGATGATGCAATAGACCTATATATTGATAAGGCATTTATATTAAGTGGGAAAAGCATGTTAGCAAGTAGTATAAATAGCTATAACCACTATTATTCAGTGTGTAAAACATGTCACTGTGCAGTATAAAAGTTATATCTAATTTTTATATATTCAATAACTAGGTATTAGCTGCTCTTGGCTCACACACACACACACACACACACACACAGAAGTAACTATGCGAGATGATGAATATGTTAACTTACTTCACTATAGTAACCATTTTACTATCCATATGCATCCCATAATATGTTGCAATCCTCAAATATATACAATAAATTTTTTTTAAAAAAATCTCAATGAGTGTTAACAGGAAGCTTCTTGAAGGGTAGGCTGTACATACATGCTCTGTCTTTATATTGTTATCATCTAGCACACCATCTCTCACATACATAGAGTACAAAATTTTACACAGAATATGTACATTAAGTAGCAAGGTAATTGGGCACCAATTCAGGGAAGAGGAGACTTACAGAGGGAAAAGTCTAGAGGAAAAGAAATCCTAGAAAGAACTATACCGAAACACTAAGAGTGGTTCTCTCTGAGTGTGGGATTACTGATAAATTTTATTTTCTTTATTTCCCTCTTTTTTTTTACTGTTTAAATAATATATATAGTACATATTAACATATTGCAGGGCCCAAGAAGCCCAGAAAATTTTAAAATGTTTATTCAATCTATTTCCCAAAACTTATTCAATGAAAACTTCACATTTTAGTAACACAAATGTTTTACTCTGGAAATGATACTCTGAAAACATAGACTGAGAAATGCTTTTCTAAAATCACTAACTCCTGTTAACACTCCTTTACTGAAGTTTCACCGACCAGTTAA